ATCATGGAGACTGTAACGAATATTCGAAAAATCGAATAATCGCTGGCATCCCTTCTTGATTGCTCATGATTTAATGTATGAAAAAACCTTCAAAACCCTTGTATTATTTTGCTATGTGTGCACTGAGAGTGTAATACTTAAAATGCACTTCACAGTAACACTCTCTCTTTAANGAATATTAATCGATTATTCGATATTTTGGTTGAAACTAAGCCAGGAAAAAAAAGAAAAACATAAATAATAATAAAAAAATATATAAATAAAATCGAATTTTAAAAATAATTTTCGATCATGGAGACTGTAACGAATATTTGAAAAATCGAATAATCGCTGGCATCCCTACTTGATTGCTCATGATTTAATGTAATACATTTAATATGAAAAAAACTTCAAAATCCTTGTATTATTTTGCTATGTATGCACTGAGAGTGTAATACTTAAAATGCACTTCACAGTAACACTCTCTCTTTAAATGCATTTGACATTTTAACAGTGTTTATTGTTATTCTGTGTTGAGATGATATATCTGAGATGATAGTTTTAATACATGTCTGATATGTTTTTAATGCATTTCTTGTGACGTTTTTTCACACAACAAAGACTAAAAGTGTACAAATTAGTTTTAATTTTCCAAATGACATTCATGAAGTGTTCCCTGATATACTCTCTATCCTGTATGGACTCCTTGGCTGAACACGCTTAACAGGAGTAGCCTCTCCTTCAGACTCTTGATTCTCTCTCTCTCTCTCCTCATCCTCCTCCTCTCAGCACGGCCAGCAGCTGTACCGTCACATCTACCTGGGCTGCAAGGAGCCGAGCAGCGGCGGGCAGCACTACGAGTCTCTCTTCGCTCTGCTGGGTCTCCTCAGCGTGGAGCTGGCTAACGAGGAGGTGGTGGTGGACCTGATCCGCCTGGCGCTCGCTCTGCAGGTACTGAAACACATGCCGTCAATCAAATTATATTTACTTTAGATAAGATACAAAAATTGAATGATTATAAAAAGAAAAAATGAACATTTAAAAAAAAAAAAAAGAAGTTTTTACTCCAAATATAAATATACAAAAGAAACAAAAAAACATATTGCAATGGAAATATGACAATATGTGACGAATGCAGTATATTATATTTGAAAGAAGAGGGCTTTGTAGATTTGAAGAGAGGTAGGGATACATAGAAATATGTAAATGTATTCATGTAGTCAGGAAATCATTCTGAAATTGGCCGTAACACTCCCAGAAAGTAATCCTCTAACACGGCACTACAGTATTTAGTCTCATTATATACAAATGAATGTGGCAATAAAAAGCCTTTCACAGTGCTTTGACATAAAGACCATAACATATCTAGAAAAAAGGACATCGAATCTGAAATAGATTTTTAAAGATAGGTGGTAAAACTCCCAATAAATGACACGAGGTAAAGAAGTGGAAACAGTCCAAGATGAATAAAAACCAAGTGTGTGAGGGTATTTTATGAACACGGTATTTGTCCCTGTTTCCTGTGCAGGACCTGGCTCTGTCCACTGACGAGGCGCTTCCTGTTTATAACCGCTGTGCTGTTCACGCCATCGCCGCCGCCTACCTCAACCTCATCTGCCAACTCACCACCGTCCCAGCCTTCTGCCAGCACATACACGAGGTCTGGCTCCCCTTTGTGTACACGTCAACAAACGTGTGAATACTAAGAGCCTTCTTTAATAAACCGCATCCTTTCTCTGCCCTTCAGGTGATTGAGGTGAGGCAGAAAGAACGGAGCTACCTTTTGCCTGAGGATGTCTTCATTGATAATCCCAAGTATGTACTCCATAATGTATCTGACTCTATGTACATGTATATAGACTATATACACAACAACATTCTCTGCAACATTTAGCTTCTTGTATATACTTGTTTGACATGTATACAGTTTACTTAATCTGCGTTACTTGCACATTGGTCTTGGCTAGATATTCTTGCACTATTGTTTTCTACTTTTTTAATTAGTTGTACGTCTTATATATATTACAGGACTGTCTCAGAAAAGTAGAATATTGTGATAAAGTTCTTTATTTTCTGTAATGCAATTAAAAAAACAAAAATGTCATACAATCACAATATTCTACTTTTCTGAGACAGTCCTGTAATATATATAAGACGTNACAAACGTCAAACTATTTGCAAATCCTGCCGTGCGACGGTCGCCTACAATTCGGGAAACACATCGAACATGAGAAGTCATTTGTCACATCACCACCCAGAAAAGCTCCGAACACAACAACCTACTGTGAGGAAAATGCCTAAGCCAGGCCAACTGACTCTGACAGAAGTATTTGGAGCGCCACTTCCCCCTAACAGTCCAAGAGCTCAGGAAATAACAAGGTGCATCGGCGAGTACATGGCCAAAGACTTAAGGCCGTTTTCTGTGGTCGACAACAGTGGATTTCGGAGGTTAGTAAACACGCTGGAGCCCAAGTATGCCATTCCATCACGGCCATACTTTAGTCGAACAGTGCTACCCGCTCTGTACCAAGAGGAATGGCATACTTGGGCTCCAGCGTGTTTACTAACCTCCGAAATCCACTGNGCCCCTGAGCCACATACCACACATTTACTGTTAATGTCTATATTTGTAATTCAACATCATTCAGCGAACAAAGGCCATTAACAAAAAATAAAACAGCCTTACTCATGATGTGTCATGTTTTCCTAACTATTAAAATTACACATTTGACATAACGGTACTACTTTGGCCTAGTTTGCATGTTGGCATGATGTAACAAGGCTACCTGTGCCAAATCAACATTTTATTGGCAGTTACCAAAATAGCATTTACAAACAAGCCTTTCTTAAATTTGAATCTATTCATGTCCTACTCGTTATTTACTGAAGACCCTTTGGGCTTTCAAAGACACAGTAAAGGCGGGATAAATGAACACACTGTGTATTTTAAAGGAAGGCAATGAATCATTGTCTCCCACAACAGGCAGATAGGCAGACATTTCCTCTTCTTGTGCACCACTCTAGCTTTTCTGCAGGGTTTCGTCCTTGTATATATTTCCTTGAAAAAATAAACCTCCCTTTAGCATAGAGAAAGAGAAAGATGAAAGGAGAGCGGTTATCTTTTCAAATGCATGGCCTTTCCATTTCTAAAGCTGTGTGTGTGTGTGTGTGTGTGTGTGTGTGTGTGTGTGTGTGTGTGTGTGTGTGTGTGTGTGTGTGTGTGTGTGTGCCTGCGAGCGTGTGTGTGCGCACGTACTTGAGTGAGTGAGTGAGTCAGGACTTCCTAATGAAGTTTCCACACAGGGGAACATGCACGACTCGCCGAAAAACGATCCAATCAGTCAAATTGATTTGAACACTTCACGTCTACCCTTCCCTTTTCAAAGGATGTCGTTTTTGGCATTAAGATGTCAACGACGGCTGACCTTTGAGCGACTTAGAGACGGAATTGGCAGTAATCTATTTAATCACTGCAGCTTCTTTTTCTTATTGATAACGTTAACCTGCACCTAAGAAATGTACGTGAGATCCCTAAAACATCTAGCCATTATTCAGGATATTTGTAAGATTGCAACTCACCCAGAGGAAGAAACATGAGGGGCTAGTTACATCACTAAAAGCTTCACCTGTTGATGTGATGACGTGAGCGGCACCATTGATTAAAAAGTGTGTGGGAGGACTTGAAACCCTTTACCATACACACTCCCTTCCATCCAGAGAGGAGCAGGAGACCCCTTACCTCGATCACACCCAGAGGCCTTGAGACTCCGACCTCCACACTTTACGCGTCTATAAAAAGAGCTTTCCTCCTCTGAGGAAGCAACAGCAGACCTTCTCCTACTGAGCATTTCATCACAGAGCACAGAGAAAGCAGAGGAGGAGGAGAGGGATCACAGTTAAGTGTCGCCACTCTGGAAGATCTGTGGACAAACGGAGAAAAGGGAAGAATACAGGAAAGGAACGCTTTTGGAAAAGGTAAAAACAAATTGTCTTAAACTTGTCAGTGGATGTTTTCTTTGGCATGAAACAAAATTGTTTCTGGTTGTCGTTAGCTTCTTGTTTTTTCTGAGCAAGCATTGATTACACGCTCTTACCGTATTTGGGATTACTTACATGTACAGCTGCATTTTCTCTGTAAATCATAATTGTTGTAGATGTTTGTATTGTATAGTCTCACCTCAGCTTGTTGTAGAATATGCACAGTTTTCTTTGCTGACGTTTCAATTGCTTTTCATTGAAAAAATCTTCCATAAACAAATCTAACTAACAGACTGTTTAAATAACTCTTTAGATTGTTAACACATACGGTTTGAATCTATTTTGATCGCAGCTCTCTGTTATCAGATAATGCCTGTAGAGAGCTGAGTGAGTCATACTGTAGGAAGACTCTCTGCCAGAGTTACAAAAATGATGGCCCACCAAGGAGTCGCTCCTTGGAAAAATAGAGAAGCGAGGAAGAAACAAAAGGACACATTACCCAATAAAGGAGAGAAAACTCGCTGCGCATAGAGACGAGATGTAAAACCTTAACAACTGAAAACAAGCGGTTAAAACGAGTATCAATTTTGTTTTATTTTTCTCCGTTAACCAGCATCTTCGAATGAAATCCTGTTGATGAAGTCGATGGTTTTAACATGAGAAGCGAGTGATTAGGATGTGATAATAAACAAGGCAGCAAGAGATGAGGGGGGGGGGCGTTTGCCTGGTGGAGATGCGTCATAAAGGAAGTCATTCAGGGCTGCTGAAAGAATTTTGTTTGTCCATTTTCCTCAACAATTATAGTAATTTATCAGCACTGAGTGTGGCCCCCTGGGTGAATGCAGCTTCTTACAACACCCACGTGTTTTCTTGCAATGTGTCTGCATGTAGCATTGTCCTTGAAACAGCACAAATGTTGGCTGGCCGCTCACAAAATGACCCTTTCACCTCACTGACCTTTAACTGTTAGCTCTCCCTATTGTGCCTTCTTTTACTACTTTTAAAAAAGCTGAGTGGTTACAGTGCGTGCATAACCACAACATATTTGGACGGATAATGGCCTTTGTGGCATGTCACGCCCCTCTCACACTGTCTAAAATTCAAAAAATAACAGTATTTTCTTGTAAGCAAGCCTTTCCCGCGGCGCCTTTCATGTTTGCTTTCTCCTTGACCTAAAAAAAAGCTACATCCCACACAGTGATAACCAACTAATTTATCATGTTTATTATGTTAATAAATTAATCATACATTGTTCACAGTAAAAGAGGGATTATGTACAGCCAATTTAATGTGAAACATAACTGAATAGATTGACAGCTGCTCTCTTTTTTTGAACAAAAGCTACTTAATGAGTAGTTATCATCATCGTTTTTTAACGTCAGCCGTGTAAGTCAAGACTAAAGTTGAATTTGCCAGGTAGAGTCATAATCCTTTCTTATCCAGTCCTGTGTTGAACTCTGAGCAGCTACTTTTTCATAAATGCTGCCAAACAAACTCACGTTGTTTAAATGAAGACGTCTGTTGTTTATCCCATGTCTAACTTTAATTCCATGCTTCTGACAGCACACATTGTTTTCCAAACAACAACTCAGTGGCTTATTTTTGATGAAGCATCACAGACTGCAGTGATCAATACATGGCATTTGCTTTGGCTGCCTCACAGAAAAAAACCACTACCATGTTTTTCTAATAAAATAATATTAGTGTGGAGTTTTAGCTGTATACAGGAAAACAAGTGGAGGGCCCAAATGCAGTCCAGCCAAACAATACGTTAAGAGTTCAGAGATTAATTCTGAAACTAAAAACGCAAACAAGGGTATAAAAGACAGAAGTTTAAAAAAATGAATGAATTGGGCAGGAAAAGGGTTAAATGTCCTTTGAGAGAGAGCTTTGATGAATCCCTACTGAGATCCATGTCTATTCTTTCTCAAAACACTAAATCTGTAAAAATCGTACTAAAACTCTATAAAATATAAATATGGAAAAAGAAAAAAACAAAGACCCTGCCCTGCTCGCCAAGCACTGATTATTTTCATACAGTCACGCAAGATCGGAAACCACAAACCTCAATCGAGCCTCCTTTGGGAACCAAATCAAAACAATTTATGGTTTTCATTATCTTCCATTTTAAATAAGATTTATGTGCCGCAGATCTCTTCAAATACTATGAATTTGGAAAAGGAATGTAGATGAATTGCGTTTGAACTCAGGGCTACTATTCAGCCGTGACACAGCTGCAAATCCACCAATTACAGTTTTTAAAGTGTTGAAACGTGTCAAGTTATGTAAGGAAGTAAGGAAGTAAGGAAGTGTTATGCAAGTGCAATCATCAGGAGAACCTTTTGTTCCCAAAAGTAACAATTTATTTCTTCCTATTAAGGCAATAATATGTGACTATTCTAGCCTATTGGGACTGTTAATCCTCTTCAATGTTCTGAGGACAGTTCCTCATAGCCTCTCTTGTTTATCTGTCCTCCACACCAGGCTGAAGATGGTGTGTCTATGTTGGTTGTTCGTGGTGGTGATGGCGTATGTGTGCGTCCCCGGGTTTGGGTCAAAATGCTCCATCTGCAACGACCTGAGCAACAAGGGAAGGATACTGGTAGGTCAAACGGTCGGCTCTATCATCTTCATTCTTGCCTTTCTACAGTGTTTCCTCTTTTTTCTTCCACAAATAATCCATTTGAGAGATAACAGACAACAAGGCTGTATACATGTAATATATGTGGGTTTTGGCCTTTAAGAAAAATCTGAAGATGTCAACGGGGACTCTGGGATATCTTTTGGGGCATTTTCATTGTTATCCAACATCTTATGGACCAAAATTGAATCAACAAAGAAGAGGTTGTTATTTGCACCAATGAGAAAAAGTCTAATATTTCAGTTTTTCTTCTTTATCTTAAAGATTGTGTTGGAGGTTTTTGCACATTGATTTTCTCAACGCCGTTATAAAGGGAGTCCATGAGGCCTATGTATTTGGTGACTCAGTTATGAAAGAATAAAGCATAATTATGATCACAAACAAGCATCCGCTACTATTATCAGTATCAAACCACAGTGTATTTTACACCCTCTGCACATGACTCACAGTTTTCAATGTGTGTTGATGTTTCTCTTTGCTTCCTTCCACACAGGACTGTATTCACCTCTGCATGTCAGTCATTCAGACCGAACTCCCCCTCAGTCCATTGGCCTTGAACGTGAATGACGACGATGACCTCTTGCTCAGCATCCTCCTGGCCAGCCTGGTGTCTGAAGACAAGATACCAGGGTCATATCTGAAAGACCACACCGATGAGCGACGCTCCTATTCAATGGAGCATTTCCGTTGGGGCAAACCCACTGGTCGTAAACGCCGGCCTGTCAAAGTCTTTGCCTCCAGTCTGGAGGGAGGGGGCTCCTCTGAGGGCAGTTTCCCCCGCCATGTGCGCCGGGAGCTGAGCAGCAACAAGGATGAAATGATGGGGCAGCTGAATGGAGGGGGTCAGATCCAGGTGTTGCCAAAGGCGAGAGTCAGACCTAAGTCTCAAGCGTTGGGCCCGCAGGAGAGGAAAGATGGGACCTATCGGATGAGTCACTTCAGGTGGGGGAGACCGACTTCTAAACGTAATGGCAGCTTAAAGAAACAGTGGGGGGGAGGAACTCGGCGGCAGCTGACCAAGCTCTTCAAGAACATTATCGTGAAGGATGTACAGAGGATAATGGGCTGAATGTAGGATGGAGGCGAGAGAATCTAATAGCCATTGCATGTTAGTATCCACAGCTCTTTATTTTAAACTAACTTGTCACAATCATTAGCATGAATGTATTTTCTGGGTCGCATTACAACCTCAAATAAAGAGAAGAAACAAAGCAGTTTTTTTGTTTGATAAATATAATAATGCATCCGCAGCCTGCCGGTCTGATTTGAGAGATTTCTTGTTTTTCTTGTGGGAATCATCTTTATTTTTTGAAGAAGAGAGCATGCCAATCCATAGCAAGGCGTGGGTGTGAATGAAAGCTTTTAAAAACATATATCCAGTTTATTTACAGAGTTGTATCTTTTTGTAAATTAATATAATATTAAAGATCATTACGTTTATGGCAAACAAATGGGGGTTTGACTGATTTTGTATTTATTGAGCACAAAAACATGCACTATATGGATTTGTATCCACCATTGATAATTGGCTTCTTGCATCTTAAAGCTCTGGAAAGGAACATGTTCAGTATTTTGAAATAACAAAACATAATTTCTTTAAATACGTATTATAATATTAATGACAAATGACAAAAGTGGAAGGCTGATGACTTATGGCTCCATTTTGAATGTATTTGTACTTATTGTATTTTAAGCAAGGTAGAAGCATTTGTCGATCAGGAAATAAGCATGGCAAAAAATATATATATATTTTCCTACCTTACATTTTTAGGCTACTCCTTTCATTTCAATACAATAACTGGAAAAGCTAAAAACTGTGAACGAGTAAGAGAAACAGTAGGAGAAAAGACACCACTAAAATACACGATACATTTAATTCTGAAAAACCACTCCCTCAGGTGACAGTACTGATGCAAGTATTGTCACAGTGACAAAACTCAGTCATTACAGGCAAGTCAAATAATAACACGACAAGCATTGTTAAGGAAACCTAACATTAATGATTGCTTAATATATACCTCTGCAACTGACTCAGCACTCCAGCATGTGTTTGTTTATTTTATTGTACTGTATGATGATGCATGATGATGTTACGCAGATTCAGATCACATTTGAAAACAACATTCCACTCCATGACGTTTTTCCCCATTGTCAATAACAAGTAAAAACAGAAACAGATCAGACTATTTCTGGATACAGACACATTTATTGTACGGCAACATCACAAGCATGCAAAGTCAGGTTCTGACACTCATAAGGCATTTTCTCCTTGTAAAAGCTGCCTTTGTCACTAGGGAATCCAGTTTTTAAAGTGCAAAGTTCACAGAATGAATAGATTTTTGACCTACAGCACTACGTTGTAAACAGATCTATTAACGAGACATTTAATGACAAAAGTAAGATTGGTTTACCGTTAGTCAATATTACCATACACTATGCAATGACAACAAGCACTCTGGTAGATTTACATATCTCCACTGCCAAGATGCTGAAAAGACTTCACAAGGTGTCGCTGGAAGGTTTTAACAGCTGCACGTCGCTGTAAGATGAATTGTTCTTTGTCAACATTGTGGAAAAAGTCACTGGGAAAAAAAACTGTAAACTGATTTTGGTTTTGGGTAATGACGATATACACACACACACACACACACACACATCTGTGTGAGTGTTCATACAGACGCATGATTAAATACACACACACACACACTTCTGCACTAAAATGGTAAACATGAACAGATCTGATACAGTGGACATGAATATACATACAGATGACACTACATAGTAAAAAATGTTGGAGCGTGACACAGAACGGAAACGTTACATTAAACATGGCTGCAGCGCGACTCACGCGCCATGCAGATAGTTCACAGAAGCGCAGAAGCAGAGGGGGGGGGGGGTCGGTCTCTCACAACATCACAACACTGACCATCACAGCACCACAACAACAACAGAAGGTAACAATTTAAAACACAAACGAATCTGCTACCAACAGTTGGGCTGTGTTAGCCAGGCTAGTGGCAAGTTATTGCCCTTATACTTTGTTTCGATGCCTGTGTGTATGTGCACACATGCATACAAAATGGCTTTTAGACTTGTTTTAATCTTGCTGAATGAGACAGGTGCACTGCTTGGAAGCCGCGGCAGCGTTAGCAGCGGTGTGGCATAAGAACAGAGTGCAAACTTATTCCAGCAGGACTGAGAATGTGATGGCAGCTCTACAGGTCACAATGGTGCTAAAAACCTGTCTGGTAATATGTGGCGAATAATGAAGTAGATTATTTTATTAATTCTTTAGCAGGACACGTTTCAGACGTCACTAGTGTGATAAACTGGCCTCAAGACGATGGAGATGTTTTCTTGTGGGCTGTTCAAACCCTTGTCAATTAACCTTTTTGATTTCATGTGTTGCTGGTTTCTACGGAGGTCCTGAGAGGCAAGTAACAAAACAAAAACAATTGTATTAAATTACGTATTTTCAAATTCTGATCTAAAAGATTTCCCTCCTGAGTTTGTGAATAGAGAACAGGTGAACATCCAGGTTTTGCCAGGGTTGTATTTGCCATATATGGCACGTACAATTAGTTTGTGTTAATTCATGCTTTCTTCCATGTGAGTTTTAATGTCTTTGAAAATAGGAAAGATTTAAAAAAAGGAAAGATTATCCTGATTCACCTTACAGTATTTGAACTGTTCATTAACACAAAAGTATTTTCAGAATTGGAAATATGTATCACCAGCATTTTGATGATCCCCCTTGCCTCTCAGTGCTCCCGTATGTAACATATTGAAGAGTTTACAAACAAATCTGAGTACTATCTAAGTAGCGTTCTCCCTCATCTATGGACACAATCAGTGCAGTGGCAGTCTAAAATTAGAATCAATATACAGTTTATATACAGTACACACACCAAATAATCCCTACTCTGTACATCCGCTTATAGATTTATAGATTTCTCTGTATATACACATTTATATGGAAAGGAGAAAATAAAGGATCCTTATTTACCTTCTAGTGTTTGATCTGGTAAACATCACAGTAAACACTTCAGAAGATAAGTGTGGTCATGACTGTGAAGCAGTGTGTGTTTCCGTGTACGTTTGAACTCGAGTCACCTGCAAGGCACACTCACTTTGGGAGGATAGCACAAAGATAAATCATTTACATCACGGATAAAAACAAAATAATAACGATATGAAACAAAAAATACGAGGTGCAGGAAATAGACGCCTGTCCTGAAAGAAAAAGCACTTTTGGCTAACACTAAAAAGGCAAAAGAAAAACAATGGTAAAACATTAAAAAGAGATGTTTAAGAGATGAGTAACATGGGATATGGTAAGGATTAGCGTCATAGTTGTATACATCTGTCCATATTTCATTGAAACATACACTAAGTTAAAATACATCTTTTACACATATGCTCTCTCCGGCGATAAAATCAACAAACAACAAAACAAATAAAATATTTAAAAAACGGTCAATCAAATTTTTGTGATCAACAGTAGTATGGCACCCTGTAAGGGACAAACAGGTGGAAAGAATGTCCAAGTTGTAGTGCTATCAAAAATGTCCAGTAACATGGCATGCAACAAGTCAGTTCATTCAAATGAAACAACTCTCAGTGTGCCACCTATCGTCCCCTCGCAGTACTTGGCAATTTCAAACGTTAAAATCCAACCACAGGAGACTCTACAGACATCGAAAGAGACGCGAGGGGAATAACAGACAAATAAAAGTTTGTTTTACTGAAGCATGAATCGACATAAATAGCCGGCTTGTTTTGGGCTGCAATCACACGGAATTTCAGATGACTATGCTGATCAACAAGTAGCTTGTTCTTGAGTGGACAGTGGTTTTTGATGTGATTCCATGTAAAGATCGGTATCCCCCCCAAAAGAATTCCTCGCCTGCCCTCAAGTGTGAAATAGTTCTGTGACTTCCCTTTCTGCTTTAGTAAACACAGAGGTCAGGAAACTTCATCTCGTAGAGTGGGACGGATCGACTCTGGCTTTGGCCGTAACCTGATGAAATGGTTCCAGATGGGCTGGGGGGGGGTCTGCACGGGAAAAGGAAAGGAGTCAATCATCACGTTTTAACAACAACACAGCGAGGCTTGCGCAATCATGTTTTGATAGTCTTAGGAATATGTCAAACATCCATTTTAACGACGATGTTTTTGCTGGACTGAACCACAGATCTATTAAACGACTCCAGACGCTAAAGCCCTCCTCTGCCAGGCTTTAGCCAGAGCCAAGAGACGGATCACATCACTCCAGCTTCAGCCTTATTACCCTGACTCCCATTGTGTTTTAGAGTTTTTAAGGTTTAACCGATTACTTTAAAAGCTCTGCATGGCCTCTCTCCCTGTTTTATGTCTGAGCTCTATGTGCCGTACGCACAGTACTTTTAGATCCCGTCCCAGAGGCAAAAACTAAAGGGGACAGACCGTATGTAGTCAGAGCCTCAAACCTGCCCCAAGACATCAGGTCGCCCGAGTCAGGAAACTCCTTTATGGATTAAAAACAAGTTCCTTTTTGGAGACCCTTTCCTCGAGTTAATAGAGATTACATTTCCCTTTTGAATTTTCTTTTCTTTTTCCTATTTGTTTTCCAAACTACATTGTTCTTTACACCATAATGTTTTGTATCCGTCTCCTCTTAAATCTTTTTTTATTTTATTTTAAAAAAAAAGTTTTACTTTTATTGTCATTTCACAGTAGGCCTACTTACTATGTAACAAAATGGTTTCTCTGCATTTGACCCATCCTAGTGTTAGGAGCAGTGGGCTGCCATTATGAACGGCGCCCGGGGAAATGAACGGCGGGTGATTAATGACATTTTTGTTGGGCTGCTTTGAATAATACTATCAATAAAGATAAAAGTGTATTATTAACAGCCATCAATGTCACTATCGCCCTTTGGAAAATTCAAAATACTGTTTCATTGGAAATATACCAAAGTGCCGTCTCTTACCTGATTGTAATCTCAAAGATCTGATTGAGTTTGCTCTGGAGTAGAGAGGCCTGGATAGGACAAAGAATATCACGTCAGACCATAATGCCAAACTGAAACAACAATAATCAAACAATATGGGTTAAAGGAATGTGTGTTTTACCCTGGCACCACAGTGTGCAGCTATCTCCTCGAAGGGGGCCTTCTGAAACTTCTCCACCACTTGTCTCCTCCGCTCCCTCTCCTGCTCCTCCATACCGACGCTGTCCACTAGAGGGAGACACAAACAACCTTTACGTCTCTATTCTGCACCATGCTGAACTAGATTGTGTGTTGAAAGTGACGATTTGGCCTTAATGCTTGAAGGATTCTTCTTAAAAAACAGTAAAGGAAATCACAATCATTGTAATGCTGACGTACCGATGGCATTCTTTAGGGTTTCAAATGTGATCTCCTCTGCTGGCGTCCTCTGCAGAACAGAGTAAGAACAAAGGAATATCAAGCACTTTTTATTTAACTCGAACGTCCTTGTGTATCGGTACATTTAAGTTCTTGAAGATGGCATTGTTGGAAATGCTTTTTGACCTTTACCTCTTCTTTCTCTGGACTGTTTCTGGACTCCACCTCCACCTGCAGTGAGATGGTCTCTCCGATGCTCTTCCTCTTGGACAGACGGTCTTCATCTGGACACGGAAGAGAAAACAGACATTTTGTTTTAATCCAAAGGCAACATTTGATGCGTCTAATCAGAATAACACAGGTTGACGCAGTCTGACAAATGAGTGTAAAAGTGAACTAGCTCCCAAAGGCAATGCCTATCAATAAGTTATAGATGGTTCAAAGGGCTTTTCCTTCAACTCAAGGATCCTGGCTCTAGCCCCACAGCTGAAGAACAGTCTGTCCTGATGTAGTGTCCTTCAATGAAACACTAAATCCCCGCGAGCTGCAGGAGAGAAATTCAGCTCTATTCCATACAGGAATCAATAAAGCACCAACTAAAAGATTTAACACACTGGCAAATTCAATAGACATTATCATTATATACTTTTAAAGAATATCTCTTCTTTGGCACAGCTGACTTTTAAACACGATGTATGCTTTTAACAAAAGAAAGGTTTTGTTGAGACCCTTACCAGTGTACTGGGGGACATACGGGGTAGCCAGTCTGTCTGTGTTATACCCACTGCCTCCGAGGACCTCAGTGATCTTGGATTGGAGGAACAGAACGTCCCCTTCCACCTTCTCCAGGGAAGAAGGCAGCCTGGGGAAAGAGAGAGAGGCGATTTAAATATTGATATGTTAAATATATAAACATGTACTGACATCTTTGCATATTCAAATAGCTAATTTAGTGTATGGTTTGCAAAGATTCAAAGGATGTATTGTCATATGCACAGTAGCTACGGTGTAAATATGGCAATGAAAGTCCCAGGCTCATCCTATCAATACAATATAATATATATAAGACGTACAACTAATTAAAAAAGTAGAAAAAAATAGTGCAAGAATATCTAGCCAAGACCAATGTGCAAGTAACGCAGATTAAGTAAACTGTATACATGTCAAACAAGTAGGGATGTAACGATATACCGAATACCGCGGTATCGTGGTAATGAAACGGCTCAATACCGTCGTGAGACTGAAAAAATCTACCGCGGTATTATCGTTCATTCATTTATATCTCGCCCTGTAAATAAAAACTGTAATGTTTTTGTTTGAACAGCAGAGGACGCCATAATACTAGTCAAGAATACTCCCATCATCCTTTGCGTGCAAGCCCGCCCTCACACTCAGACCCAACGAGAAAATGGCGAACGGAGTAGACGAACGTGCTGACCAACTAAATAGAAATTGTGAAATTGAGGATGCTCCATCGACT